CCGTCCAACACTACAGGTAGAGTAATAAGGGTCTACTTGGCTCAGGCGGGACCAAGACCAGTGGTGTTGACAGGTACTTCTTGATTCTATCGAAGGCGTTTTGACAGTCATCGGTCCATTTGGTAGCGGCGTCCTTCTTCAACATCTTAAAGATTGGCTCACAGATAACTGTAGACTGTTCTATGAACCGGCTGATGTAGTTAAGTCTTCCCAAGAAACTCATCACATCCTTTTTGTTCTTTGGCGGTGGTAGTTCTTGAATGGCTTTGACCTTTGATGGATCCAGTTCTATTCCTCGGCGACTCACAATAAACCCCAGCAATTTTCCAGGGGGTACCCCAAATGCGCATTTTGCGGGATTCAGTTTCAGGTTGTACCTCCGCAATCTATTGAAGAACTTCCTCAAATCCTCCATGTGATCAGTGGCCTTCTTGGACTTGATTATAACATCATCCACATATACCTCAATTTCTTTATGTATCATGTCGTGAAAAATAGTATTCATGGCCCTCATGTAGGTGGCCCCTGCATTCTTCAGGCCGAACGGCATCATCTTGTAACAATACATTCCCCATGGCGTAATGAAAGCCGTTTTCTCAGCGTCTTCCTCATCTATCTAGATCTGATGATATCCAGCGAAGCAATCTACGAATGACTGTAGCTCATGCTTGGCGCAATTGTCAACCAGGATATGTATGTTCGGCAAAGGGAAGTCGTCTTTCGGACTGGCCCGGTTGAGATCCCAGTAGTTGACACAGACTCTGACCTTCCCGTCCTTCTTTGGCACTGGCACGATGTTGGCTAACCATGTCGGGTATTCTACTACCCCGAGAACCTTAGCTTTGACTTGCTTAGTGACTTCTTCCTTGATTTTCAAACTCATGTCAGGCTTGAACTTCCTGAGCTTCTGTTTTACCGGCGGACATGTCGGATCAGTTGGCAGTTTATGGGCCACAATAGACGTACTCAGACCAGTCATGTCATCATACGGCCAGGCGAATATGTCCTCATATTCCTTCGGAAATTCTATGTATTCATTCTTTTCTGATGGTGATAAGTGAACGCTGATTCGTGTTTCCTTGACGTCTTCTGCATCTCCCAGGTTAACAAATTCTGTCTCGTCCAGGTTGGACATAGGTCTGTTCTCAAAGTCCTCAACTTCTTTGACAATCTCCTCTGGTATGTCATCTTCCTCTAAATCAATGTCTGCTTGTTGCGTTGTCTCATTGCATGTCACAGTCGTTGGTTCATCAAGATAAGTAATAGTAATGTTGTATAAGTAAAGTAATGAGAGAAAAATAATAATGAGTGTTTTCATAAGAAAAGTCGAAATGCTTTGATAAATTTCATATCTGTTTTGAACATTGAAGATCTTATTGCGGAAATTAAAATGCGAAAAGAAAGTCATTCAGTAAATAAAAACAGTGCATGATGCTTGTATTAGCCTTGCTACCCTGAGGCTCGTCGGGCTTTGGTTGTCCTGATGGTCCAGTTATTGAGGCATGCTCCTCTGTTCACAGCCTGTATGGAAGGGCTTTCCTCCCCCTCCTCCTCGAGAACAACATAGCAGTCCATGTCATTGTCTTCTAGGAAAGAGTTCTTCACTACTGCCAGTGCTTCTTCTTCGTCTGACCCATAAACAACGTCGGCCTGTTGGAAAGTCTGCTCCAAACGCGGTATTGGTTGCACCAGTGGATAGTAAGGACCATGCCATGGTGGCGACAAGTTGTTGAACTCTTCCCAGGTGTATTCGTACCCCAAGACGAAAGTGGTGCCATGTTTTTTGAGTTTTATGGGCTTAGCGATTCCTTGGAGGTTCTTTTCGAGCCCCTTGCCAGGTTCGTACCGACTCCAATTCAGTATACTCTCGATTTTGCTATCCCACCATTTATCTTTGTCAACAGCATTTACTCGTTCAATGTGGTGGTAAGTATCACACCTCCTTTTTTACACATCTACCCCAAAGGATAATGTATAAGGGAGTTTTTCCATTTAAAGTGACATTATTCGAAATGGGATTATTTATTTGTTTTCAGAGTCGCCACTTGGGATAGGATTGGCTTGGTGTCCCAAGTCACCGCTTTAACTTAAATCCAAAATCGAGGAAACTTGTCGACTTCCCATTTGGAGTCTGCGAACCAGAAATTCTGAATAAGGAATTCTGTTGACCCGAGGGAAGGTGTTAAGCACCCCCGGATCCCGTGGTTCTAGCACGGTCGCTTAAACTATTATAATTGGCCAAAATTCTGATTTTAATACATGTCATCCTATAGTGCAATTTTAAAATTATTTACCGCTTTTAATTAAATTTTAGGAAATTAAACGTCGTTTAAAACATGTTTTTGGATCACGTCACATGAAATGCACCTGGATCCTCGACATATTTTATTCAACGTTTTGGGATTTTGATTTGGGTGGCATGAAATGCACACCCGTATTTAGGAAAGTAAAATTATTAAAAAACGCGCCTAAAGCGACTAACGTGTTATAATCTTTGCGGGAGGCCGTGAAATTCTCTAAACGGCACGTCCTGAATTCTAAGTATTTTCATAGGATCATTTAAAGAGGGCCCCGCAATTTATGTATTTTTTTTTGGCGGGGTTCACCTCGTTTTATTATTTAAAGGCCATCCTATAACAAACTATCATTTTTCTATTGAATTTGTCTCTAAAGGCACTTCTAGAAATTACACATATTGCGTCGGTTATTTAGCAACGGTTATGTAACCCTTGCTATAGATAGTCTATTGCAAGGGTTACAATTATCGCAATAGCTTCTTAGGCCTATTAAGACAGTACTAAAACGAAACCGTCACAATAGTACAACAACAGTTGCCACAGATATATCTATGGAGACAGATTGGTAAAATAACGTTGTGGGGACGGTTCTTTCTAAAATAATATTATTGGGACTATTTGGTTTCCCTCCAATATTTCACTAAACCCGCGAATGCTTCCATTTTTATAATTAAAAAGTAATACCAAAAATTAAAAGTATACATATCAAAACAGGCAGGTCTTATTACTCCTTTCTCACTTTCTCGATCTTCAGGCGATAAACCCTCCTCAGCGAATTGAAGCCTTCTTCAAACCCACATCCAGCGAAGGAATTGTTCGACCAAGCATACTATTGTTCTCTACCACAAAAGGTGTGCATGATTCTCCCTCCTCCATGGCTTAAAATTCTCTGTCTCTAGATTTACCATTCAAGGATTTTTGGAAAAGCTTACAAAATACACAAATGGGTTTCTTTGAAGTCATTATGTTTTGTTCTAATTTATGTTTGATGTTTAAATTTAGTGTGGTTTAAAGCTTTTATCTCAAATTTGGTGAAAATTTGAGAACTCCGTAAAAAATTCTGTGGTAAAAAAAAAATTAAAGAAGATTGCTCAAAATTTGGGGTTTTTGTAAAATTGGTGTTTTAGAAGCTGTGTTTCAATTCTTTGAGCCAAATTTTTATTCAAAGTTGATTTTGTGCTAAATATTGAGTTTATTGCTGTTTGGAAGGAAATTAAAATGAGAAATACCCTTCGAAACTCCATCGTTGAGGTCGACAAAGTTCTAAAACTTGAATAGAGAAATTCAAAAGCTGGAGAGTTAGAGAAAATTGTTGTTTATATCTTGAGATTTCACTTTTTTAGTTGGTTTGCTGATGGTTTTGCTCGTGTTCTAAAATGGTTGTTGAGGGGTATGTTGAGAATGAGAAACTGATGGTTCAGTTTGTGGAATTGTCTGCTTTGGTTTCCTCTTTGTAGAAATATAAGGCTCAATTAAAGGTAAAATAGATCAAAAGAGAAACTTTTTCTAATGAGTGTAACTTCTGTAATGAGAAGTACTACCAGTTGTTACCAAATATTAGTTAAAAGTCTCTACAAAGATTTCTGCTATTCAGTACTAATATAACTATTACAGAAGTATTGTTAAGGGTTATTCCTTGTTAAATCTGCTATCGAATAAAAAGAACTAAAGTTTTGACAAGTCAAATTGTGTTGCCTAAAAAAAATAATATTTTGACAGAGATATTTTTGAGACCCAACTCCAGAGTCAGATTCATCGTAACACTACATACATATTGTATGAAATGCAAGAGTTCATCTCATGCCTCCTGTTTAATTTTTCAATTGTATATATTCTCATGCCTGACTGAATTTTTCATGTACTCCTTTGCTTTTACCATGTAGATAATGAGCCATAACATAAAACTACCACAGATTATTTAATATGACAAGTTTGGCGTGATATCCATGAAAAGTACTATTCCTCCTTTAGGCAAAAAAAATAAAAAAATGAAATTAACACAATTGATTCTACTAGCAAGGCTTGGCAGAGATGAAAGGAATTGGTAGCATTGTAGTTGATAATCAAATAATGACAGTCAATCCCCATAAATATGTTAAAATCAGTTTCCTTCAAGAAATATACAACTCCATAAACCAAAGCAAAAAGGTTTGCGAGGAGGGAATATAGCATATAACTCATGTCAGTACATTCCCTTTTTTCAAGATAATGAAGCTTGTCCCTAACCAACAAAATGGAGAGACAAGTACAGAATTAAACACTTCTCCGCGACGAGCTGCCCAAGCTTTCTTTCTGGTTCTGTATTTAGGTCCCGCGACGAGCTTGAAGCTTGTGGTCGAGTATATGTCCCCAAAATTACTAGTATATTTCAATGTGTAAAATTGAAACCTAAAACATGATCTTTTCTCCCCCATGTCTTGAGAAGGTTAGGTGTGGTTGATAAATAATCAACTTTATAACCTTTCTGTTTTTTTTTCTAGTGGTTTCCAAATTTGCAATAAATATTTACAATTAGTATGGAAAAGCGGGAAGCAATTATTAAATGGATGACTGAATAAATAGTGCTAATATCGGGGAGTTGGATATGAATCAAGGTGCATGTATTACCTTTGGTGATACAACAACATATTTGAATACTACAAGTGTGTCTTACTGGAACAGGGATTAATTGTTGATTTACTTTTGTGTTTCATAGGATATTCAATGAGTAATGGAGATAAAAGTTGGATGGGTCTTCGAAGATCCTCTGATGAGTATATCTGCAGAGTGAATAATTTTCTTGATAAGGCATGTGAACGAGCTTCCCAAGGAAATGAAATATTATGCCCTTGTAAAAAGTGCGCTAATTGTAGTTGGCATTATAGAAATGTGGTGGAGGATCATCTGGTTGCTTATGGGTTTGTTCAAGGATACACCAGATGGATTTTTCATGGGGAAGGGTTTTCGAGAAATAATCCACATCGAAGCAGTGATGATGAAGGTTCTGATATGCATGATGATATTGATGGACTACTTCATGATACTTTTAGAAATGTTGAGGGTGACTTCAGACACGATGAAGGAGTGAGAGAGGGGCCATCTGAAGATGCAAAGAGATTTTTCAAATTAGTGGAGGAAGGGAAACAAGAGTTATATCCGGGGTGTGAGAATTTCTCTAAACTGAGTTTTACCATTCGGTTGTACTTGTTAAAGTGCATTCATGGGTTGAGTAATGTGGCCTTCACAGATATTCTAGACTTACTGAAAGAGGCATTCCCATTTGCTCAGTTACCCGAGTCTTTTTATAAGGCGAAAAGTATGATAAAAGATTTGGGTCTTCATTATGAAAAAATGCATGCATGTCCTAATGATTGCATGTTATTTTGGAATGACAACGAGAAGGCGGAGAATCGTTCTGTGTGTGGGTCTTCGAGATGGAAGAATGTTATTAATCCCTTGACTAATGCAAGCTCAAAAGTCCCTGCAAAGGTTTTAAGATACTTTCCCTTAAAACCTAGGCTTAAGAGGATATTCATGTGTTTTGAAACAGCTGCAGCTATGAGATGGCATGCTACTGAACGACCCAATGATGGAAATTTAAGACATCCCGCTGATGGTGAAGCTTGGAAAGATTTTGATTCCTTGCATGAAGACTTCGCTAGAGATCCTCGTAATGTTAGATTGGGTCTTTCAAGTGATGGTTTCAACCCATTTCGAACCATGAGCATTTCCCATAGCACGTGGCCTGTTATGTTAATGAACTATAATTTATCACCATGGATTTGCATGAAGCCAGAGTATATAATATTGTTTATGATCATTCCTGGTCCGTCATCTCTGGGAAAGGATATAAATGTGTACCTACAACCACTAATTGCTGAATTGAAGGAACTATGAAAAATCGGGATGGAAACATCTGATGCTAATTCTAACGAAACATTTCAAATGTGTGCAGCCTTATTGTGGACTGTTAGTGATTTTCCAGCACTAGCAATGCTTTCTGGATGGAGCACCAAGGGAAGATTGGCATGTCCAACTTGTAATCATGACACATGTTCTCAATATCTCAAACATAGTCGTAAGATGTGTTACATGGGTCATCGGGCATTTTTGCCTCCTGATCATCCATCTCGAAGAGATAAGAAATCATTTAATGGTAAGGAGAATCATAGAACAACACCTACTCCATTAGTGTAGAAGCTTTGGAAGAGCTTCGTGAATTCAATAATATGTTTGGAAAGGGCCAAAAGAAGAGGCGTCGAGATAGTGGGGGTCCGTGGAAGAAGAAATCTATTTTTTTTGAATTGCCATATTGGACACATAATAAGTTGCGACACAATCTTGATGTGATGCACATCGAGAAAAATATTTGTGACAGTTTACTTGGGACTTTATTGGATATACCTGGAAAAACAAAGGATCATGTAAATTCTCGATATGACTTGCAAGAGATGGGAATACGGAAGGAGCTTCAACCAATAAAAGATAACAATGGAAAAGTTTATTTGGCTAAAGCTTGTTTCTCCATGAAGACAGAAGAGAAGAAGTTGTTTTGTAGTGTTTTAAAAAATGCCAAATTACCAAAAGGATGTGCCTCAAATATATCACGATGTGTGCAAGTGGATGAGATGAAAATATCAGGATACAAGAGCCATGATGCTCATTTTATAATGCATTACTTGCTCCAGGTTGCCGTCAGAAAAGTGTTGCCCAAGAATGTTTCTTTGGCCTTAATTAGGTTGGGGAACTTCTTTAGAGCCATATGTAGCAAAGTTATAAGGCGAAGAGATATTGATACAATGCAGTTAGAAATCAATGAAATTGAATGTGATCTTGAAAAGATTTTTCCTCCAACCTTTTTTGATATAATGGTACATTTGCCCATCCATTTAGTAAATGATATAAAGCTTGGTGGTCCGGCGCATCTTCGTTGGATGTATCCCACAGAGAGAAACATGTGTAAGTATAAGGTATTTGTTCGTAATCGGGCTCATTCGGAAGCCATTGCGGAGGGATTTTTAGCCGAAGAATGCTTGAACTTTTGTTCGAGATACCTACACGATGGGGTAAAAACAAGATTCAGTAGGTACCAATATGAGGATGATGAGGGAATTGAAACAGAGGGAGATAATTTGTCACCTATATTCCCTAAGATAGGCCATCCAATTGGAAGTAAGAAGAAAAGGAAAGGCAAGGCTTTTTCTATGGATTTACAGTTATGTTTTGAAGCACATCGATATGTTCTGTTCAATACTGGAGATGAACAGGTGGAGAACTTTATCAAGTAAGATAAGATATTTAATTATCATTTGTATGTTAAACTTTATTAATTTACTTATATGTGATAGAAATATTTTAAACGTCATTCATAAAATTTGATTTGAAACATTTCACGCTTGCAGGGAACATAAGAGTTTAATTGATAATCATACGAGATCAAATGCATGGGTATGGGTACGGGCACGGAATCACAGCCAGGAATTTAGTAATTGGTTTAAAGAGAAAGTTAAAACTATTGAAGTGCCAAATCATTTGCGATGGCTAGCTAAAGGGCCTAATATGGTGGCAAAAAGATATACCGGATATTTCATCAATGGATACCAATTTCATACGATGGAACGGGATACCCGATTAAAGACTCAAAACTATGGTGTGACTTTATCAGCAACAACCGATAGTTTTGCTAGTGCTAGGGACCAAAATCTTATCTATGGAAAGGTTACCTATTATGGAGCTATTCAGGATATTATTGAGATTGATTATTGGGGTTGTTTTAGTGTTGTATTGTTTAGATGTGATTGGTTTCATAATGAAATAGATGGATATGGGTTAACTCGAGTGAATTTTAACAGATTATGCAGTACCGATGACCCTTTTGTATTGGCATCTCAAGTGCATCAAGTTTTTTATGTGGAGGATCCAAATGAGGAAAATATTTATTATGCAAGGACCAAAATCCCTGTTGATTTGTATGATTTGGAGGAAGAAAATTGTCCAAATATTGGAGATAAATTTTGGAGTGAGCTCGACGACGACTTTGGTTCATCAAATAGATTACCCGATGGTGACGTCGTATGGTCTAGAGAAGATGTACCTGGTGATGTTGTTGATATGCCATTTCATGCACACCATTCACAAGATATGGAAACATCAGAAGAGGAAGATGACTTTGATGACACTGATTGGGATTGGATGGTTCCTGATTATTGAATATGGTAACATTAGAAGAATAATCTTTTGTATTTCTTCTTTTCTTCTTTGTACCATTGCTTTGAAAGAGAATGGAAAGAATGATACTTGATCTCGTTTTTTGGTTATTCTGTAATTCATTTTTTGTGGATTGTAAATTAATTGTTTTTTCCATGTCAATCATGATTAAATTCTGAAAAGTGTGATATGTTAATTGGAAACGTATGTTGGTGTCTTTACTTGTCATTGGTTGCCTTGGTCCTCATGTCTCCGCTCCTCTCTTAGACCATCGCAAATAACTTCTTATGCCTTCTTACCTTTTTTTCCCAGGGTGTTGCAAATTAGTTACGTGAAGAGAATATTGCCGTCATTGAATTTGTTGGTATAGCTGTGAAAGATTGGAGGTAAGAGTAGTTTTCCCTTTCTTTTTTTTTTTGGTAAAACCACTAGGCTAAATGCCTAGTGCTAGTTTTTATTAAAGAAAGTAAAGTAAAACAAAATACATTGTGAGGAGGTCTAATGAAATAAAAGTAGTCATTGCCTGCCAAGAGAGCTCTTCAGTTGCGAAAATATTACTGTATCTATGTTGTTATGACGAAAATCCAGGCCTTGATGTTGTAGTGCCATTGTTTGTAACAATCTATCCAGAATATCCGCTGTGAATGCTTTGTACCCTCTGCATATGAACTTACAAATTAACTGATGCTCACATCCTGTCGTATTGCTTTCTGTCACCTCTTTTCTGCCTTCATTTTTGCACGATGTTTGCATGTTTATTGTTAAGATCCTTATGTGAATCCTTCCTGATGTGTCAATGAACCTTGTTGTGCTGATGTGTATGCCAAGTTTAACTCAAAATTGTTCGCTTTTTGAAGACTAAGTTGCATTGTTAGCTGCCATTTCCAGAACTGCTTCCAAGTGATGTTTTCGAGTTCAATTTCGTAATTGGGCCTTGTGTTTCCACCTAGAGTCTTTATATGCGTTGCTTCCTGTATTGTGGGAGACATGATCTGCATTGAAAAATTGTTCCACAACACAGCCCAATTACCAAGAAAAGATTGCCTAAACCTGTTAGTTGCTATGCATATGTCCATGATGCTTGCCCATGGTGTTTTCCTTACGTCTGTTTTCATGCTTATGCAAGCCACCTTTCCTTCTTCAAGGGAATGAGTACAAAGTACTGATACCACCCTTCGAAGTCGTAATGAGTGACGTAGCATTAATACATGAACTTTTCCCGTTTCTTTCGTAAGGTTGACTCTTTGTGCTGTCCAGCACTTTTCGAGCATTATACTTCTGGTATCCTTTTTGCCTATTTCTTTTTCTGCTCCCACTGTATTTTATTGATGTAACACTTCCTGATTTAGCAAAGTATCATGTTGAATTGATTCTTCCTCCCAGATTGTTTTCACCGTGTCCAAATTTGTGCAGCACAATAAGTGCTGCTCACGATCCTAGGCACGTTTCATTCTGCTGTTTTTTCCTTCTTTTCCTTGTAGTCTCCAAAAGATTCTTGTTGTATTCTTTGTGCATCTCTGGTCCTGAGTTACTGGATTAATGAACATTTGGGTCCTTGTGTTATTCTGCTCCTCCTTATCAATAGCTTTCATTCTTCTGTTTACACTTGATCCTTCTCCAAGGGAATGAGCTTGAGGTGCTACTTCCCTTTGGAGTTGTATCCTAATGTAAGGTATTCTTACAAAGGTGGTCCCTGCAAAAATAGCAAACATAGTTAGTGAAACCCTCATTTTCATGCTCTTCTCCATATGGATTAGAATATGGTAAATGAGTGACTGAACTCCTGCATAATAGAGTTCTCCCTCTGCATTATCCATTAAGCAGTAGATTTGTTGTTTGAAATCTGAGTTGTCATGTGCACAGCTTGTCATCTTGCGCATAGGAATGGAAAGTTTTTGGTACAACTCGAAGTCTTCCTTATGTTGAACAACTGAAATGTTAACTTCCAGTTGAGTTGCATGTCCAAACTCTTCCAATACAGCTGATCTAGCTTGCCTTAGTACCTTGCTTATGATAGGAAATCTGTGTAGCATAATATCCTGTTTCACCTTTGTGTTTATGACTATCTGTGACTTCCTTTGTGTTTCTGCTCTTGATAATTTTCATTCCCTCTTTACCACTGCTACTGATATCTTTATTTGCTTCAAAATTGTAGTCATGATTCAAGAAGGGACAAGACAACAGAAAAAAGTGAAAATTTCGACATTCGTTCAAGCTGGAACACTTACATCTTTGGCAAATCAGAAAAGGTTGATGCGGACCAGAAAAACGAATATTCCAGCTAGCTCTATACGGTTAAATGAAGAGCGTCAGGTTCTGAATAATTTAATGGAAGAAATCAGCTACCAATGCCACAACATCAGAGGGTAGGAGCCCATTTACAAAGTGATTCAACCACCCGTACAACACAATCAGTAGAGCAAGAAGTGCAATTGGATGCTAATGCTCCTACAGTAGATGAACAAGGTAAGAAAATTTAGATTTTACATCAAAGTAGTGACATCCTATATCTATTTTACTAAATTGGAGGATACTTTTGATTTGTATTATTGTAGGATCTTGTACTAAAAAAAGAAAAAGAGGTAAAACAAGGATGCTAAATGTACATGGAAGGAGTGAACGTAAGTTAATTGTGGTCAATGGGTTTGGTCAACCTGTTGGTCCTACTAAAGATGTTGTGATGGAGTTTGGCAGCTTCCTCGGTACATTGGCAAGGAATTCGACCTTTTGTCCTCTTGATATATTTGATTGGAGGAAAATTAACACAAAAGAGGATTTGTGGGAATATACAAAGGTTCTCAGTTCTCAATTTTATTTTTGGTTGAACATGCTTAATATTTTTGCACTAACCCATTGAAACAATTTATAGGAAAAATATAATATTTCTGAAATTGCAAAAAAGTGGACTCTGGATGCAATTCAAGGTGCTTGGAGAAGGTATAAGAGTCAATTGAAAAAAGATCACTTTAAAGCATATCAAAATGATGAAATTCGAATGAAAAAAAAGCCTGAAAATATTCCAGCATATCAATTTAAGGAACTTCTCAAATATTGGAACTCTGATAAACACAAGGTATGTTTTTGAGAAACAGTTTCATTTATGTTAAGCTTTGTCAAGAAATATTCATGAAGGAAAAACAATTATTTTCCTTCTATGACAGTTTTGAATTGAAATTTATTATTTTACTTGCAGAAAATGTCAGCAACTAATGTTGAGAATCGGAAAAAGTTAAAGGATCCACACACTGCTGGCAAAAAAAGCTTTGCTATAGTCCGCAATGATTTGGTATCTGCTCTTATTTATCATTAAATATGAACTTGTTATCATTTTTAAGAAGATATTTTATACTACTTTTAATGTGTCCAGGAAAAAGAGAAAGAAACTTCTGATCCACTATCACTTAAGGATATCTTTGTCGCTACAAGACAAAGAAAACCCGGTCGAACATACAAGGAATCGAATGAAGATACAACTAGAAAAATTGTGCGAATTCTTTATGTTTCTATTTTGTTTGGATGAAAAATATGTTCATACTGACTTTTTCTTTACTGGAATTCTCTCTTTTTTTATTTGTATAATAGGCTGAAATGGAGAGTATTGAAACGCAACAAAGTGAAAATGGTGATGAGTCAATTAATGCATTTGCATCAATTATGGGACCCGAACATCCGGGACGTTTGAGATTGTATGGGCGGGGGGTTACAAAAACCTCTTTGAAAGGGAAAGTGGGACATTTTGAACCCTCTTCAAATGCAAAAAATGATCACATGCAAAAGATGGAAGAGAGGATGATAAGATTGGAGGAAAAAATTGAGGAACAGAAGGAACAATATGAGGAACAAAAGACAATGATGAGACAAGAAATTGTAGAAGATATCATAGCAAAACTTCAACGTTCTGGATTACCAATTGATGCTAATATTTTAGCAACATTGTATTCTCGTCCATTGGGTCAAGCTTCCTCAACACAAGCAGCAGCTATTCACCTAATTCATCGACCATCTCTTGGTAGCAACAATCAAGGTTAGAATCCTCGCAATCCTGTAATTGATGCTTCTAATTTTTAGATTGTACAGTTAGAAATTTACATTTTTTTAATTAATCCTGAATTTAAAGTGATGGGTGCTCTAACAGTGTATGAGCTCGATTAACTACTGTCATTGGAGCTTTTTGTCGACCTGCTGAAATAGTCAAATTTTGCTATTTTTTTTTTGCGCCTGGTGATGTATTCTACCTCACAACTGTCCATATTTGCCTGGAAAAGCACCTGTCCAGCTCTTTCTTCCAGACCTACCTATTGCACAGCAATAGCTTTAGGAGCTGCTGTTTTTTCAGCAGCTGTTTGTGTATATTCCTTATGCACAACCTGCTCCAGATCTGTTTATGTGCTGGTGATGAGTGTTTGAGTTTCTGTGTATGTGATGGTGATGAGTGATTAGTTTCTGTTTATGTGCTGGTGATGAGTGATTGAAATCAAAATTTTCGGATCTGTTTAGTTGTTGTAATAACAAAGATGGGGTTGTGGCTGAATATTATTCAAATTCAAGTTGGCAGGTGAGTTTTTGAAGGAGTTTGAATGATCGAGTAGTAGATTTCTGTCAGTTGCTCCTTCAATTGGAATCTACCCACATTGATCAAAACAAATAGGATTCATTAGTATGGAAAAAGAGTACAGATAGCTTTATCTGCATAGTTTCTAGAGCATCAATACCACTCCTAACTCCTTGATTCATGAGTTCCTTGTTGATTACTACCTGTAGTAGCTCGATTCTAAACTGCACCACGACCAACGACACCAGCTGGAACAATCTGTTCAGCACCAACAGTCCAGTTAAACTAGGATTAGGATTGTCCTTCTCCTTTGTTGAACCTGCCTCCAATACATGTGAAGCCCTGCATGTTCCAACATCAACCAAGCTCCCGTAGATTTAGCAAGCTCCAAATTTTATTGTTTCTTTGCGTTCAAAACATCCCTGGCATCAATATGATGGGACTGTTGGCGCTTACAATGGTCTTGGCGCTTACACACACATATTTACTATTATTATTGAAGATAACCTCAATTTTCTTACTTGTTGAAGTACTGGTTGAATATGCTTATTTTTTTCCTTACCCTCTAAATATTGTTATGTCTTGAATTTGTAGGTAAAGAAAACGAACAAATGGGAGATGAAAGCAGTAAAGACCTTACTTAAAGAGTATTGGTTGATCTACACCTTCAGATATTTTGGGACTGTACTTATTTTTGAATATTTTGCAAACTTATATGCAATCTAACTCTTGAATTGTTAGTCAATATTCTCTTATATTTGGATAATACTAGTTGGATATTTTTGATGATGATTTTGTGGATGAATATAGTTTCCTTTAATGGTTTGTATAAATTCCAGCGTATTATAATTTACTCCATTACAATAGCTCGTAAAAATTATTGCAATAGTTTGTAATAAATGTTGTAATAGCTCGAAAAATTATTGCAATAGCTGAAATAACTGTTACACTAGCTTGTAATGACCATTGCAATAAATAAGCTAAACTATATCAACAAACTGTTGCAGTAGGTCTATTCCATCAGTTTTGCACCGTTACAATAGTTGTATTGCAACGGTTCATGCTCGTTGCGATATCTTTTAATAATCGTTGTATTAGGCTACTGTAAAACTGTTGCGATAGATACCGCTATGACCACGGCTCCGAAACCGTTGCAAAAACCCGTTGCAACAGACCAATTGCAACGCCTTATCTTGCAACGGAGCCCAATCCGTCGCAATAGGAATATTGCAACGATTTTTCTATTTTTGGCAACGGTTTTATCGGTGTTGCCGTAGGCCATTTTTCTTGTAATGAGGGCCTAGTTGATTAATATTATTAAAGCCATTATTAGAAGTAATCAAGGAATTTGGGCCTCGAGTTCAAGTCCACGCTTGAACAAGAGGGCAACCTCTTCATTCAAGTATGCTACTTAACTAGAAGGCCCAAAACCATGTTACCAAGTTAATCTTGTGATTTTAATATGACTTCCACCTTCAGCATTCCCTGGGCTTCAACAATTGGCCCAATCCCTGTAACATGAAGTTGCCCGGCAATTTGGACTTTATTAAAGTCCAGCTCGACCGGAATAGGCCGGATTTTCCCATCGAGGAGCTAGGCCAAATGTTGGGCCCAGTCTTGGCCCAAATAATAGAAATCAGGGGGAAGTAAGCATCACATGGATATTGCATAATATAACCCAAGGTTTAATTACTATGTCTATTATGAACTAGGACCTGATTATTATTGGAATTCCTAGTGTTAACTAAATGATGATATAAGACCACTAGTCAGCGAAATCTCCAACAAATTCCTCAACAAATTTATATTGTATTTGAATCCTGACTCTGCCTACTCGAATTGTATACCAAAACAAAGAGGGAATTGATCATCTTAAACCATTTTTTTTAAAAAAAAATTAACTGACTTTACTTACATCCTATTTGAATTTCAAACAAGAGCCAGCAAATATTTAACACAAAAACACTAATTAAACCTCACACAATCCAAACTCTCCAATCTGATTCTACGATTATGAACATGCAATCTGAGTCCAAAATCTGATTTTACAATTATGCTATTCGAATGTTGAACTATTAACTACAAGTGAAGACCTAAAATCAATTTCTACATTATGTTGTTGCTAATATCAACAGTTAAACTAATCACTAAACACAGTTACGCTAGGCTAATGAACATTAACAGTCCGATACAAATTGACAGTCCAAAACAGTCCAGTTGTTATTACAGAAATCAAATATTAAATGTTATCCTGTAATCCACAAATAATATCTATCTACCTTCAATCAACACCAAATACCACTATGTATCCTGACATATGAACTAATGTGTACAGAATGGACTAAACATGAAGTTGTCATGAACAAATTGTCATTTATTTAACATTCCGGGCATACTTGTGGATTTAATCGTTCATACATTACTTGAGATTGAAGAATACCTGGAAATCAGAGTGCAATAAGAAGAAAAAGAGATCAGCAACAGCAGATGATTAACAGCAAGGTTGAATAACAAATCACAGCAACCAGGGACTTAGTTATAAACTCAGCAGCAATATCAATTGACCCATGACTAATCCCAACCCATAGATCACCCAAAAATTGCTTGAATACTCCCAAAACAACTTGAAATTGAACCCAGTACACTCAGAAAACTTCAACAATTGGATCTTAAACTAGATGATGCAAACAATCACAAAAACTTGAAATTAAACCCAAAATCCTAATAGAACAGCATTTTTTTTTTGAAATTTCTGCTGTATTTTCCTTTTTTGTTTTTGGTTTTTTTTTTGAAGGAATTAAAATCTAAGAGAAATTTTGAACTATAGGAATTCAGATTTTTGAACTTCTTTGGATTTGAAATTTAAATTTGGAGGCTCATATTTGCAGAATTTGTTTTTTTAGGGGGAAACTTAGAAGCTGGAAGTTTGGGGAATTTTTTTTACATTGTAAAACTTGTTAATCAAGGCAATGGGCATGCCTTTTTATAGGCAAAACTAGGGTTGCCTTCAGATTTTTATTTTACCCCTAAGTCCCTCTTTTATTTTCAAAATTTTAGCTAGTTAGTCCTTTTTTTTATTTGCTTGTTGCCCAAGTTAGACCATTAAATTCCTGAAATTTGGAACCCCGTCTAGAAGGTTTTAGGAGTTTCCAATTTCAGTTACTATAAGATTCTCTTGCCTAAAATACCTAAACTACCCTTTTATTCATTCTGAAATTACCAATCCTATGTCAGCTAACCCAGCCCCTTTTAACTTGGTCAAACAACCATGGTTAATTACTCACAGGGACTGAAAGATTCAGCTATGTCCAAACAAATCCTAAAATTGAATCAATAATCCTGTAACCTGTGTTGAACTTGATTTAAATCTAACTAACATGAATTCTAAGGCTAAATGTATCATTGAAAAGCAGTAAACTATCAATTGAAGCAATTCAAAACAAAGTAAAATACTATATGGAGACAGTAATATTCAAACAATCCTTTGATTAATCATCAAGCGAGTGAGAATTACTCAGCAATAATGGTCAGGAATTAACATCAATACGAACAGAGAAAACAAAACAAAATCAGAAACTTAAACTAATCTAAACTACAAAACCTAGAATACAAAGTACTGCTAACAAAATAAAGCATGGATTTAATCAGAAAACTAATTTAAAAGTGAATAAAAGAAGGAAAAAAAATAACTCAACTGTGTAGTGTTTGGACAGGTACTGGGCTTCGATTCGAGCTTCAGAACAATGTTAAACGTTTGTTCTTCACCAAGAACAAACGAAAACATTGTTTCGTGACTCGAATCCAATACTGGACTCAAGATTTTGGGAAGAATTCAAGCATCTTAAAGCTTCTAGGGTTCTTCCATCCTTAGATTTGAAATTCGAGAAAAACGGGGATGATTGAAGGAAAATAGTTAGGGGTTTAGGAAGAGGGCAATGAGGAGACCCTAGGATGTAATTTGGCTGGGATTTGGAGGAGTTAGGGTTTTGGCCGGAATTTTAATTCAATATTCGAGGAGATTGGCTAGGTTTTGAGGGAAAAGGGTTGTGGTTTCGGAAAGGGGAGAGGAAGGTGGTTCAGGGGTGTTAATTTGGTGGTCATTGGAGACATGCCGCCGGCGGAGACGATTTCCGGCCGGCGGCGGACGGCGGAAGGGCGGTGGTGATACATTTTCTGATCTAGGGTAAGAGATGATGAATCGAGGGGTAGGGGGGAATTAGGACACTTATATACCCAACATCTTAGTTAGTTCCGGACCGTTGGATTGATGAGATCCAACGGTCGTGATTAATAGACCATGAAACGATGCCGTTTAGGCATTAAATCACTGGGCCGGATCAGGGCGATTTGGGCTTGGGTTTGGGTGATTTTGAACGGGTTTTGGGGTGGAATTGGCATTGGGCTGATGCATATTTGGCCCAAACTAACTGGCCTGATAGCCCTCTTCTCTTTATTTATTTCAATTCTTTTATTTATT